AGTCGTGTTGTTTTTCCTCAATCTAAGTCTGATGAAAGTTCATTATTTACATTATTCGGAATATTTTCTTCATCTTTGTCGACATATTTATCACAAAGTTTTGGCCGTTGTACGCTCCGGACTTCTTCAGGTGGTTGGAATATGTCATTTATCAGTTATCTTCTGTTAATTTCCCTCTGAAAGTTCTCCACTTTCCTTAACCGGGTATTGAACTCACACTCTTTGAGTCCTGTCACTGGATCTAACCAACGCCTTTATCCTTGAGGACACATGGCTCAGTGGATAAAGGCGTTGGTTAGATCCAGTGACAGGACCCAAAGAGTGTGAGTTCAATACCCGGTTAAGGCAGTGGAGAACTTTCAGAAGGAAATTAACAAGAGATAACTGATAACTGACATCCATTAAACATGGCAAGTGGAACTAGAACAGTCTACCCCAGAGAGTGAAAGAAAGGGTTCAGTTCGACATTCCAACCACCTGAACAAGGCCGGGCCGTTGTGATAAATATGGCGACAAAGATGAGGATAATAGTCTGAATAATGTAAATAATGTACATAATACCTCATCTCAGAAATATAGGCAGACTCTGATGAAAGTCGCACGAAAAACCTTGCAGGTTTTCCTACTTCATATTTCTCGCCACTTTCTTAATATATATCACATTTTTTTCAAATTGCTTTTTATGTCGATTACAATTATTGTTCTACCTGTGTATTCTATATATTTTATAAATAAATATTTCTTTTCTATTGCATTTCTTAAATTCTACAAACTAAGAAGTTCTTTAATATCCACCAGAGAATTGCGTCCATTGTCAATTAAGAAGCTAATCTTTTTTTTTTAAATCTATATTGGCGACAAAATAATTAGTTTTCTCATCGTTAAGATATATCATAAACATACGGGTATGTATTTAATAAATTTAAACAATATTTGTCACTTCACCACAACTAAGGAACCTCGCAGAGTTTGGAATAACAGAAGATTCTGATGGAAATAACTTGTTGAAATCTAGACTTTACAACTTTAAGTTGAGTACTAGATTGACAGCTAACTCTCATCTTTTTTACACGCGAAATGACTAGATGTTACTTCTATGGTAACAACGTCTGTCATATTTTCCGATTATTGAACTCTTTTGCAGGTTTTGGCTTCACAGTCAACATTGATCTTAAAATGTTTAAATGCAATGTTATTCCTTATCTTTTGTGTTCTTAATTCTCATGCATATGTAATTATGAAACTAACAATTAGTATTAAATGCAAGAGTGAAGAGGAAAACAGACAGTAAACTGCCTAACGAGCAATCGCGAAGATTTAGAGAAAATGAAAAAGGGACACTTACACTTAACATCACAAAGAGACAGAATTTCCAGGGCAATTAATGAAAACACGGGACTGAGAGAAGTTGAACAGGATAGGGGATATTAAAGGCAATAGGGACTGAGGAAAGCACTGCGGATCCTACCTAATGAGCTTGAATCAAGGATTGGCAAAACAGAGATGAGAAGTATCAGTGAATGTTTACTATGATATACAAGTTTTGTTGAGACTTGATACAGAAGAAAAAGAATTGAAGATTCAAATTCGTTAAAACCTGAAATGTCCGAACATAATATTGAAACATTGCATGAAATATTGTGATTCAAAAATGGCAGCTCATACTCAAGATTCGTTATCCTCTGGCTTCTAAATCCCCCCCTCTTTTTATTGTTCTCTCTCGTTAAGATTTTTCTTTTGTTATTTAACACTCAATAGCAGCTTGCGAATTAGTGGATTTATTGACCCGAAATGATTAAGACAACAAAGAGAAAGCACGCTTAGACAAATAGGGAAAAAGAAATGACAATTAACTAAATATCTAGAAAGACAAATACTATAAAATTATTTTTAATATCTGTATAAGGTAGTAACCAGTGGTAAATGTGACACAAGTATCCGAATGTGCCATGAAATACAAACAGTGAAGTAATGGATAGCGGCTCGGATTAAGGAATCAGAGAACCGAGTTCGAATTCCAATCAGATCTAGTACATTCACATAGGTACTATAACCCTTGGGAAAGGTATGAGTCCTGTTCTTCTCTCCCAGCTATAGATAAATAGAAGGACAGACCGAGTTCTATAGCCTTGGATAGCAATTGGTCTACCGTAGAATGACATGGCAACCTACTGCGGGAAAAAATCTGCCTCGTTTGTCATGTATTCGAAAGATACTTGATCAAACAAGCGTGTATCACGAATGGCACAGGGTTGAAGCAAAGTATTAAGAGATAGGAAAACACGGTTAGAAACAAAGAATAGAGTGTTGCAACCTCCTCCCAATCGACCGATATATACCTATCCCAGAAACAAGCAAGTGATTAGAGTCTAAAATATATACATAAAAACAAACTTGTTCCGACAAGGTGTGACATGTAAAATCAATCGACACAAAACTGATCACGCTGTCGTCCGACTTTGTACAAACCGAATTGGAACAAGTCGGCGTATTTCTTTTAGGCATCAAACAGCGCTCTCCCCCAAATTTAAAAGCACCGGATGCGTACCCCACGTTGCGTTTCTATTTACGTATGTCTCGATGTGTAGAAATACTGGGAATAGATCCAGAATTAGCTTAAATCCGGCGGCATTTGACATATGCGCTAGATTGGAACATTTAACTACGAACCAAGTAGCATTTGACCCAGAAATGTCATTTATTTATGAATTTTATACCGTTTTGGTCAAGTGGGTGACTGTTTTGAAAACCCTACTTCACTAACTCCATTGCTTGTCATAAAACAAAAATCCATTAAGGTAAACACTGAGATAACGATTTAATCGCTGTAATTTCACTTAGGACAGAACGTAAATTTAATACGTTTAGTCAAGTCTGTCACAAGGCTACAATCATTTAGTGCTTTATAAAAAATATATCTCACAGTTTTACGATACGTCATAACATAAACTAAAATTTAATACTTTTAGTCAAGTCTGTCACAAGGCTACAATCATTCAGTGCTTTGTAAAAACAGATCTCACAATTTTACGATACGCGGCAACGGAAAAGAAAATATAATACGTTTAACCAAATCTCTCACAAAGCTACAAGCATTGAGTTCTTTGTAAATGTAGATATACTTTTTTGTTTCCTTAGAATAGCTTACATAGTTCTTTAAGAATCTTACACAAGTTTGGCGCAAGGTTAAAAGAATGAGGACTCTAGTCAAGAATACGCTCAGCTAGAATGTTTTGCAGAAAGCAAACCAGATATCCTTTTACAATTGAAACTAAATTAACTGCTGAATATTTTCGAGTATTTTTTTATGTTTAAACGTTAACAAGGATTATTGAGGAATTTCAGGCTTTGAACAGATGTTTAAGATTAGGGATTCTTTGTTCTTGGAGAAAATCATTATTTTAAAAACCTGTCTCCGTATTAACTGCAGATGACATTAGATTGCATTAATTAATTATTGCAGAGAAAGAAAAAACAGGTGTCTTTATGGAATGCAATTCATCTATTAAAATAATGGCAATGAGAAATGCACAAAATGAAACTGCCTGCATTTACGGTATTGTCAAATAATAATTTTAAACTTTAAGGTCAATGAGTGTAGAAATGATTCTGAATTCAAAGACAGTACTCAGAAGAATTGGCTTATTTAATAACAAGAGGGTGTGTTTATATATATATATATATATATATATATATATATATATATATATATATATATATATATATATATACATATATACATATATATATATATACACACACACACATATATATATATATATATATATATATATATATATATATATATATATATATATATATATATATATATATATATATATATATATATATATATATATATATATATAAGCTTGAAGGTTGCGTTTAAACATGAAACTTAATGTCACCGCATGGTGCTGATTTCAGTACCCTCTATGTATGTATGTATGTATGTATGTATCTATCTTCTGTCTGTCTCTTCGTCTCTCTCTTTACATATATATAGGACATTCATACAGTTCTATCAAGTAATACAATTCATACTATGACACCACCAGAACTCTGTAATGATAAAAAAAATGCCTCATGTGATTATCCAGGTAACCAAAGTATTTGCAGTTTGCTTCTGTCATTGAAGATATTGGTTGAAGCAAATCCTTCAGGAACCTGTAGATCTGCTCGATTCGAGTTGTAACAATTTCTGGAAATTTGAACTGAATTCGAAAGCCGACGATTTGTGCCCAGGGTACTTAAAAGCAAAACAAAATCTGTTGATGTAAAGGCAAAAAAAATGAATATTCATTGGAAGCTCCATGACGTGCAATGAATAGAAGACCACTTGAGTCAAACGGAGGCGATTATTATTATCACCTTCTGAACACTTCTGAATGTCGAAGTTTGACCAAAGCAATGACTTGGTGACTATTTGGTGAACTGCATCTGCGTTAATTCACTACATCTGTTTGAATACTGGCGAAATAATTATAGCGTGCATGCACGGTTAGGTAATCGATATAATGCATAAAAGATGCGTATTTATCCTTTATGGGCAATAATACAGAGTCAATCTTCATGCAACGTCGCACAATCAACTCTCCAGAATTTGAACAAATTGCGCAACGAAACTCCTTCAGCCTGCTGACTTGAAATATTACCCACAGAATCTCACGTTTTACTGATATTTAGACATATTCCTTCTAGTTATCAACACCCAAAAAAGTTTTTAAATTCTTTTGAAGGATTCGGCGCTTCTTGAAATTCAGAATTCTGTATAACGTGAAGAAAGAAACTTGTATCCTGTTGGCAATTATATGAAGATTCTAAATGCTTTTATTTCAACCAATAAACTTATTCGGAATCAAACCATGGCTAGGATGAGAACAGGTGGATTTTTAGCTTCTTCAATTGCCCGGAATTGAAAATAGCCAACCCTTTGGAAATTGGAACTTGACTCTCCGAATTCTAATTCGTTTTAACTTACACCATGCTCACATTCAATCTTACGGCGCCTAATATTCCCAAGCACTCTTCCATCGAGGTAGTAACAAGGCCTGGTGTTGCTTAATTTCGGTGATCTTATGAGAACTGGTGTTTCAACTTGACATGACCGTAAGCAGTATGAAATAAAACAAGTTAAGGTATCTCTACACGTTTAAAAGTTCCTTCGTAAATTGACCAGTTCTTTTACTGGTAGTGGTTTAGTTTGAAATTCCATGACGTTTAGCCGATCCGACAAATGAAAAGCTTGCGTGCAAAATAGAGGAAACTTTTGATAATAAAAAAAAGACGAGGACAATCGAACGAATATAAAAATAAATTTTATATATATATATATATATATATATATATATATATATATATATATATATATATATATATATATGAAAGAAGCATTGATATCACTCCCAGTACTTGATTTTCAAGAGCGAAAGGCTTTCATTTACACTGACAAATAACCAACAGACATTTATTTACGTTACAAGGTTGAATTGTTCTTTTCTCTAATATCTTGCTGAACATTGTGAAGCCATCTTTGAACTGTGTAATAGTGTTAAGTCTGCAGTGACACGTATAATATTTAGAAATAGCTCCTCGTCTCGTCTTGAGCAAAGTTGTTATTTTTTTATGATCGTTTCCATTCAAGGAACCAGGCAAACAATTTACCACTTATTTTCCATTATAATATAGGTTTTATGAAGCATCACAGTCTTCGGCATAACTGTTATTTACCTCAGTCATTTACTGACCGAACGCGACGTACAGCCGTGCAATTTGCAACCATGACGACTAAACCATTGAGCCATGGCCAGAAACCGATTAGGAAATGTTCCAGAAAATTTGGAATTTTGCTGAGAAGGTAAAAATTAGTGATTTTTTTTAGATGAATAATAATCACTGTTATCTGCCTTACAATTCTAAGCAGTTCATTCGTGTTAGATTGTTTTTCATACAATGTTTTGTCCGTTGTACAATCTGTCTTCAGTTCAATGACGTCGTACTCGGCATGATTATAAGAATATTAAAGCGAATCTTTTATACAATCCACCTGATTAGACGTTTTTTATTCTGCTTTGCAAGTTCATCTTATAATATTTCCAATCTACAATAAGTGACCAATTCCACTCTCTCAAAACTTCTACAATCAGTGACCACGTTAAGAAAAGCGATTAAAACGTGAGCAATGTTTTATTGAAATCCTTATTAATTGAATGTATAAGTCATATTTCATTTATACCTATGGATATTAAAATGAAGTATCCTTACCCGATACACGCTTGGATGAGCATGCCTCTTCATTACTGACTAGGCAGACGTTTTCAAGGAGTAAGCAGTCATAGCTTGCTGCAGTAGACTGGTTGACAACCAAGGCAATCTAACAGTCTGTACTTCTATTCAACTCATCGATGGAGAGAAAAGGGACGGATTAATATTTTCCCAGTTGCATTTGCGCGTAAGTAAATATAACCAACCTTATTGGAATTCAAACTCGACATTACGAGTTTTCTTTTCAAGCCAATATCCAATAATAGAGTTAAATTTCATGTATTTTTTTACTAAAATTCACCCATTACATGGGCAAACAGACACTCCATGAAAATTATGTTTTCTTTTCTTTCTTTTTTTTTAGCGGCATATGGGTCATTTAAAGTCGAGATTTAATTTTGTTTTTAATATTGTTGGTAATATTTTCGTTTATTTACGTTAGTGTATTGCTGATAAATGTTTTACTATGCATTGTTGTTATTTTTCTATAAAGTCTATTGTTATAATTTCATCGTGTTTTGACCCCAGTTGAGGAGTTTATATTTGCCTATACTGGGATCCTAATAGGTATTACCACCCTTGGTCAGGTTGGACCTGGGGACAACAGCTCCCCAAAACATTCCGATTAGAATCCTTGGTGTTGAGTGCAGTTTATCGTCACATCCAGGACGACTTGGGTACCTCGAGTCGGGGGCAATGTTTAGTAAGCTTGTCACGCTAGAACAATTACGACTGAGTAGTTAGTTCGACCTTTACTGAGTGCCCCCTACTTTCGGCCTTGTGCCACATCTAAGCTACGCTTGGAAAATCATATAGGCAACTCAAGGCGGTGTAATGGTTAGCAAGCTTGTCACGCTAGAACAATTACGACTGAGTCGTGAGTTCGACCTTCACTAAATTCGGCCTTGTGCCACGTCTAAATTGCCCTTGGAAAATCACTATCTAGGACGACTCTGTGTAGAGATGTTGGTGTATAAGCTTAAGAAAAGATAAAATCTCCAGTTTGATGTTATGTTTATATTGTTCACACTGTCCTGTTTATTATTCTATTGTCGCCGTTTCGGGAATTGTAATCACCGGCCATCTTAGTAAATATTTGTTGGAATTTCGAACAGAACTCTTTATTAATCCACAGGGGTAGAGCGTTCTAATTCCGCATGCAATGCCTTTGGATAACCCCTGACTTGAAAAGATCAAGATTGTAGTGAGCAGGAAAACATCCTGCTGGGAGTCTTTTCCACAATGCTGCAACTCTTCTGAAGAACCTGTCCGAGTACTATACTTTACTAATGGAATATGAATAGCATAAGGATAATTCATATTCTTATACGTCGTATGGCGAGTCCCAGCTAAAAAAAATGGCAAGACTGTTGAAAACAAAAAATTAGTAGAATACTTGTCATGGAAATAGCGTAATAGAGTAACAAAAAGTTTGTGACTTGTTGACTGTGTAAAAGGAATTGTAGGGTTGTAATTAATCACCCACAAGGCTGCGGAGATGTTTTCTAACTATCAAAACAGGTAAGCGATGCCTAGGCAGCTTTATCCCAGACAAAGACTGCGCAAAGCTGGCATCCAACGAATAAAACCATGAAGAACTTCCATTGTTTTCACTAGAGTAAGCATGGGACAAAAAGGAAATTTATACTTAATATCTGAAAGATATAGGTGAAATGGCATATAATGAGGAGAGAAGGTTTGGAAAATCTGATACTCACAGGACATATTGAAGAAAACAAGACGTATCTTACTGAAATTGAGTAAATGTATTGCAGAACAGGGTTTACGAGAAATAGCGAATATACAAAATTTATTAAAAGCTATAAATTGCAAGACTCTAAGGGAGGCATGGTACATGAAGAAGAAGAAGAAGAAGAAGAAGAAGAAGATTCCATAATTTCCCGGGGAGATATCATTGCTGTAAACAACTTTAGTCTTTTCGGAAGTGGCCGAAAATGAATTCAATTATGAGGTGGAAAAGAGGAAGTAAGTTTTGGTGCTTATGGAAGCATTTTTTATACGAATTTAGTCTTTTGTTCCAGGAACCTGTTTATCAACAATAGACTTAGCTTCTGAATCACACATAAATGCCGTCCTCAATCTTCCTGCCTTTCTTCGTATTTATATTCCCATGTCTGCCAGTCCGCATTTGTTGTCTCCTCCACACTGCATTGCTGATTCTATTGTCATTTGAAGAGACAAAAACAAGCATTATTAAGCATTTTTCCTGATAAATTGTTCAAATGACTCTTCAGAACAATTGATCGAATCATTTCAAATCTGATACTGAAAAGTCCGAATCAACTTGAAATATTCCAGATGCATTGGAAACTTTTGTATTGGAAGGCGGGTTTCTTATCATTATATTCCAACCATTTTTCTCGTTCCCAGACAAAATAAAATCATCTCCCTTGTTACAATGCAGCTTTGGATTGTCCTGTTGAATAATGACTCGCAAATTCTTCATTCCAATTGGAAGATTCTCTTTAATGGTTGGAATTACCTTTCCAAATATTGTTTCTTGAGACTCATATGTGACCGGAATTCACTTTTCCATTTGGGCCATTTTTACAATGGAGCTCGTTCTTTGCATCCAAATGGACATATCCAAAAACTCCATTTGAAGATTTGTTTCTTGTATTGATCAACCGTTTACTTATATGCGGGAACTGTATTAACAGAGAATGAAAGTATGACACTGAAATCCGAAGACTTATTGGGGGAGCCATGGAAATATCCCCTAAGATAAGCACAGTACTAAGATATAGAAATATTTCGCTAAAAACCAGAAAAAGTGTACTAAACAGCTAGGCGATATCTATCCTCCTGTATAGCAGTGAGTAGTGGACGACCTCCTCAAAAATTCAGTGGAGATTTGAAGCAACAGAAATGTGGTCCCACAGAAGGATGCAGAGGATAAAATGCATCGAACATGTGAGCCACGTCGAGGTTTGGAAGAAAATGGAAACAAAGAGGAAACTAATACTGATGGCATCAGGAAGAGACAATTGAGGTTTCTGGTGTGCATAATGAGGAAGGCTGACTTGTAGGATTTGATACTCACGGCACAGGTAGCCGGCAAGAGGGACAGAGAAAAATAATGCATAACATATTTTGTGATATTGAGTAAATGGTGGAACAGGGCTGAGAAGCACTAAGAGAAATACAAAATTTATTAAGAGCAGCAAAAGGCAGGAAGTTGTACAGAGTTGTTAATCAGTAAAAACATAGAGCGTCTGATTGGTCTTTTTACACAAAAAAAACCATCGCTCATCTACATGAAGAGAGTTCAGCATTTGATCAAATGCTGCATCATTTCTAAAAAAAACTACAAAAAAAACCCAAGGCGAACTGCAACTGATGCAGCTTTTTAAGCGTCAAAGTCGTGGAAAAGCCGCTGAAATTCTCCGATATTTAATGATTGATGTAGGGAGATTTTAACTATTTCTATGCAGGGAGAAATCCGATCCGATGTTTGCCGAATCGCAAATCCAAGGCCTTTTCACTCCTGCTGGAAGTATCCGTTCCTGTTGACAATGTCTTCAGAAGCGTATCAGTCTTAACCATGCTTCGCCAATTTCGATTTGGTTAGGCTATTTAATCCATAGGTTGGGTGGATGGTCGATGACTTCGTTTTCTCTGTCATGGTGCGGATTGTTGGTTATTTGATCGATTATTTTGTTGGTCCCAATTTCGTTTTCAAACATTATCTCTTTTTCTTTTTTTTCTTAAGCGCTACATCGATAGATTTGGATGGATTCATTACTTCATCCAATCCGAGTCTCCATATACACCTTATTGTTTCACCAGAAAAATTGAATTCTGTCATTGCTTCCATGTATTAGTCGA